CAGGTGATCCGAAAAGACAGAACTCGTAATGTTTGCCAGAGACAAACAAGGACAAGGTATATCATATGTGTGCTTCCTGGCTGGCTGTCTGCCCGGGCACTGGCAAGCAACACTCAAAAGACTAAGAACCTGTCATTCTTGAAGTCCGATAGGTGTTTAGACTGGTCCAACACTGATATATTGCGTGTTACCTTGAAATCATCACCTGTGTTCCAAAAGCATTCCAGTTTCATCTGCTAAACAAAATGAAAGTAATATGATGGCAAACTGGCCTCCGACTATGATATGTTTGTGTTAAAGCAAACCCCTGACCTCTTATCTAAGAATTCATTAAACTGGTTCACTTCACTTAGAAGGAGAATACACAATACAATGCACATAAATCTGGACTGCGGCACTCTTGTGCACCGTGACGCCCACCTCACAGCCTAACTCCCACTATCACATCCTAACATTACAATGGCCTACGTCATTACCATCAAAAACTGCATTTTTTTTCTACATCGCTTGTTACCCGGTTCCTCTGCGGTATCGCACGAGTGTCAGATTGCGCTACCTGCAACCACCTTTAACTTCAAGGTCGAGAAAACAACACGCGTTTTTCAAGCTGCTTACGTCATGCCATTCATGATGAACGGCCAGTGCAACCCTTGGTCGGCAGTCACCGTAACTCAACGACAAACTTCAGTCAGCTTTCCGTCTTAAACGCTTTAATTGAACTCGAACATTTTCCATCCACATTTAGCTTAGGCATTCCCTAACACATTCTAGCCTGGACATTTTATAATTTGCTGATCTAAACTAATCCAGAAATTTCCTATGTTACCCAAGGTAATTTAGACGTTTCCCACACATAAGTATGCCAACCTAACCTAACATGGGCGTTTTCACACCTTAACTAACTCGAAACGCTACCAAGTTTTCAAAATAGCATGTCTCTGTGACATCCCCGATATCTATTAATGCTACAGTACCGCCATGTTCATAATCAGCAGCAGTAAGATAATTGTTGCACCTAGTGTTATCTCACAAAGCCACCTCATTGAAACCATACCTTCCTGAAACTTAACTTTCGTCACCAAGTTATGAGTTTAGTTAACTCCTACTGAATCCGAGTTGAACATTAATCAAAACTTCACGAGATAACTATCTTTGATTTCCTTAAGTCCATCAAACTTCCGTTCACAACAATTAACTTCTCATACCCGGCCAGTTGGAGAACCCGCCAATTCTACCAATACACCACAAGGACATCCATCCTTCCCCAGCGAGCCGGAACTTAATATTTATGATCTATTCATCTATATCTACAACAAAATCATCAGCATAACCTCATACCGCCTGGGAAGATATTGGAAGCATAATGTGTTGTCTAATGGTAGACCCTGCTGCCATATGGCATCACAAAAATTGTGACCAAGTCCCAGGTTGCTGATCTGACTTTCTGCCTCATTTACACACAATTGCAGAGCTTCAATTGTTTCTCTTATTTTGACAACACAACATACACATATCATTTCTCACTTGTGAGTTTTTATATTTTTATGGTCCTTAATATTATTAATATATTTATTATTATTATTATTATCATTATTATAATTATTATTATTATAATTATTATTATTATATTTTTATTAAATAATTTTTATAATTGTTTTTAAAAGTAATCTTATTATTATTTCGCCCCCAGGTTATTTACCTGTGCCCTGGTGGGCTAATCCAGTAAAAAAATAATAATAATAAATAAAAATAATAATAATAATAGTGATATAAGACCGGCTCATGATAACTTCGATAATGGTCACCACTCATTCGTTTCCACTGATTTCCATTATATTGCAAATGTCATGGTGATACTATTCATTGTGTTTAATCATAGTAAACACCAAGGTCATGGTAAAATAATGTCATGTTTTACCACCGTACAGTGTAATAATACAGTTTTGGTTCTTCAACATTGGGTTTGCTTTAGCATCACCAGTACAATATACTGTACATCTGCCCTGGAAATACAGTACTAACACTAAGATGTGGACATTGTTGACGAGACGCTAGTACAGGTAATGATACCTCTTTCCTGTATATCATGTAGGGATGTTTTCCCCGGGCACCACGGTAACATGTGCTATACCGCATCTGAGGCATATCAGCATCAGGGATATGGGCACCAGTACAGCGAGCGACCCATATAACAGGATGCTGTCACTTCAGGAAGCACCTCCCTCCCATACTGCTGCCACCACTCACGATACGTACTGTACAGATCTTACTGAAGGTATCCGCCAGGAATCGCATGATTTACTGACCCCATCTATAACTTCACTCACCTTGTGAGGTTAAGAATCGTTTCGAGTTTATGAAGCCCTCAGCTGAACACCAAAAACGAATAAGTTAAACTTTTTATGGTTTTGAGATTTTATACTTTAGGTAAGGTTTTCTAAGGTTTCTTAGTTTTTTTTTTCATCCATCTTCCCTCTACTACAAAGCCCTGTCCACTTTCAACAACCAATATTGTTGGTAATGTCGGTTAAAATACACGAAAAATACAAAGTTACGACGGAAACGTATTAGAATGAAGTATTTTTTTTTCTATATAAATAGAAATATGAAGTTCCTTGTTCGACCTAAAACAAATCTTTACGTTTTTATCGTAACCCCATGACCCAACAGGAACAGCTTTTCGTTGTACAGTACGACGGAGTTCCCAGTGGTTGTTTTTTTCCCCTAAGATATGATTGATCTTGTCAAGACAACTCAATTAAGTTTGTTTGTGCCAAAAAATAGTTCAGATATAAAAAAATCATATCTTAAGTAGTGCGCAACGTAAAATTACGTCACCGTAAACACCAGTCACAAAACAGTTGCCATCCTCTAGGATGTACACAGCAGTACAAGCGAGAAGTCCTCACTCCTATACACATGGCCACGGATCCTTAGGAACCAATGAGGCGGCGGCACGGGGGAGGTGGGCGTGGCTCTCACAGTACCACCAGACAAGTGCGGTTCATAGAGGGAGACGGTGAGTCACCTTTCCCACCTGTTTCATGGCTCCCTGGAAAACGCAGGTTGTAATTCCATGATGCAGCAGAATTGTCGTTCCACTTGGCCTTTAACGACAACTTTACCAAACAACAACACAATACGGCAGTGGCTTTAAACACTTTTCGGTTGAATGGATACCAAAACGAAGGACTAAAGCATTTTCTTAATATGGATGAGTTTGTTGGAATAAACGGCATTTACTTCAGCACGGCGTTTTCTGACTGGCACGAAGCTGTCTTTTAGGCTGCGCCAATTTTTATTTCTACCGGGAGTTTACAAATACACCTCACCGCTTAGAATAAAAACAAAAATAAATAAAAAAAAAGGCAAAATGACAAAAAATTCAAACATCAAAATATCTTGATATGCATTCTTTCCTTTTTCAGGAGGGATACCGGATATGCCCCATCTGTGACTGTACCTGCTCGAATTGAGTCAGAGAAATGCAGATATACGAGCCATAGCTCCCACTTAACAACTTTACTACAATACTGTTCGTGTCTGAGTAATACTGACATTTGTTTTAAAGGGGAAATCGACTAAAATCATATATTTAAAATAAATTTAATACGTTTAACACACTTACATATAGTATACTGTAGACCACCCGAGTCGATATTGGAAAATGTATAATGTGCATGAAACGGTTCTTACATTCATGAAAAAGTTGATGATGTGTATTAATGGTTTCTATATGGATTAACTCACAAATATTGAAATAGGGCGCTTGACACCCTGACGTGCACGGTGACCTTCAAAAAAAATAACCCGTATTAAATTATTAATAACGCGAGAAAGGGATTACAGGTTCTCACGTAACGGTAAGTTTCAAAGTCCTTATACTGCTGGTTAACGAAAGGAATATAAATCCTAACCACAAGCAAACATATGACGAACTGAAACACCTTCCTGGAGTGAACATTCATCATGGTGGTTACTTGCAAAAAAATAAATAAAATAATTAATAATAATAATAATTATAATAATAAAATCTGTATCTTTAACTGTTATTGTTGACTTCGACCGTCAACGCGGATCAGAAAATCTTTTGGGCATTTACGCGCCCTTGAATGTAATCATACAATCCATACCGTCGTGGAAATGTTCAGGAAGAGTGTCAGGGTAATCGATCTGTCGTCTGCCATAAAGCTTGGGGCATGAGACATGTGTTACATTATTAATTTATGACAATTTTGTTCACACTTTTCAAGAGAACTTGTAAGACGTTACCTTACCACCAATTACATGTACAATTACTATCCTTAACTTGTGGTTCCTTTGTCAAATAACGTCAATTCTTGCTGAACCAGTGGAACCTGGGTGAACAACATTCCACGTTACTTTCGAAGTCATCAAAACATAACAGAAGGAGAGTCGAGAAAAACCGTTGTCAATGATAGTGTAATAAACACATGTTCCCTAATTAACATGTAGAAGAAAAGAACTTTTTTTTTATTGAAGTAGAAACTGACGAAATCTCTACTTACATGGGTTGAACACAGCCAAGGATTTGCTAGTGTCGGACACTTGGTAGTTCTTGCCTGAGGTAACGCGGGCTTCCTGGACTGGTGCTGCTATAGCTTTCTTCAGTACTTGTACGGGAGGTGGGCTAGCCTTCCTAGGAGGAGTGGGTTCACGAGGTGGAGTGGGCTGGCGTGGAGGTGTAGGTTCACGAGGTGGAGTGGGCTGGCGTGGAGGTGTAGGTTCACGAGGTGGAGTGGGCTGGCGTGGAGGTGTAGGTTCACGAGGTGGGGGAGTGGGTTGACGCGGTGGGGTTGACGCGGTGGGGGAGTGGGCTGACGCGGTGGGGGGAGGGCTGGGCTGACGCGGTGGGGGAGTGGGCTGACGCGGTGGGGGAGTGGGTTGACGCGGTGGGGAGGGGGACGTGGTGGAGTGGGCTCACGTGGTGGGGAGTGGGTTCACGTGTTGGGGAAGGTTGACGTGGTGGGGGAGTGGGTTCACGTGGTGGACTGGGCTGGCGTGGAGGCGTAGGTTCACGTGGTGGAGTTGGCTGACGAGGAGGGCTGGGTTCACGGGGCGGTGGGGTGGGTTCACGTGGAGTGGGTTGGCGAGGTGGAGGAGTAGGCTCACGGGGTGGAGGAGTAGGCTCACGGGGTGGAGGAGTAGGTTCACGTCGTGGAGATGGTTTACGAGGTGGTGGAGTAGGCTCACGTGGAGGAGAGGGTTCCCGGGGTGGTGGAGTGGGTTCACGCTTCAAAATAGGTTCAGGGCTGGGATCTCGCAGAGCTGGGGGTGCTTGGATCACTGGTGCAGCTACAGGGTCCAATAGGGGCTCGAAGGCTGGAGGGGCTTTACTTTCCGTGGTTGAGAAGGGATCAAATAGGGGTTCATTGACGGGCTTTCCTGTCTTAGGCTCGGGAATCATAAAGTCATTGTATGAGCTTCCTTGGCCCTCTGTGATAAAGAAGTCCTCAATCTGTGACATATCATGGGAAGTCTTGTCGCCATGGAAATCAGTAGCAGGAGGTGGAGCAGACGCCAGAAGGTCGACACCAAAAGAATCTGTTGATCCTGAGATGGGTTTAGGTACAAAGGGACCACTAGGCACTGTTTCTGTGCTGAAGGGGTCCATTCCAGCTTCATCCCGTTTAAGTGAATCGCTTGAAAGAGAAAGGTCTGGCGAGATGGGAGAAATTCCAGGTTTTGTATCGGACGCAGGCATACTTGAGAGGTTTGAAAAGAAGTCCTGTCCTGAGCTTGGCACTTGGGACATGAAGTCATCCATGAAATCAGTAGCTGCCCGAGCACTTTGATTTACAGGAGGCGGCAGCTGGTCTGCTTCCACCTTCTCAAAGTCATCTAGATTCAAGGAATCTCGATTCGATCCAGACGAAAAAGGGTCTTGGTTTGGGGTGGGGTCAGTTTTGCCTGCCGTGGGCATACTAGCGAACTGGTCAAAATTAGACATTGCTATGCCTTATAATTACACCAACGGGCAGAGGTTATCACAGAAACTGAATATGCTGCCCCTCCACTGTGCAACTGTCAGTTTAGAGCCACGCACACAACACACCGCTCTGTGTAACACCTTCACACAGAGCACTGCTGTCTGTAGTGACTGGTCCTGACGAGCTCTAGTGCGCGATTGCCGGTTAAGTAACAAAAGACTCAATAAATGCCATCATTCTCCAACCTAAGAAATACAGACTTAATAAAAGTTGTATCCTTATTTAGCTGTAATGTTATCATTTAAATATTTGAATTAATTATTGTATTAAAATGTTATAATACATTACAGTACATGGAAACTTTCTCCAATTACTGATTGGCTAGAAAGACGCGCGCCATTCAGATCACCCAATGACTGGAACTCTTGGCGCCTCATGCAGGTTGGCGTGACGGATACCAAAACATGGTGGCACACACGGAGCTCCCCGCACAAGTTCCCCACGAAAAAATACTAAATAACAAGCACTTTGAAAGATGTAACAACGAGAAAACACCTGTCAACAGCGCAGGAGGTACCAAGGGAAAAGTTCACCATCAGGTTAGCGCCTATTTTTCAAAACCTATCATGGAACTCATACGATATAGGTCACGGAAAAGAATACTCTACCGCACCCAAGTTCCACCTTGCCCGATATTTTGATTAATTATCAATGAAGTTTTGAAGGCAAGACACAAATCATGAAGACCCCGCTTTAATTTATAACTCAGTACAATATTATAATTTTTATAGGTGTTGGTTCAATCTAATAAATCGTGATGCCACTTTGGCAATCTTGATAACGCTGGTGGAATGTTGATTGGTCTAGTCACAACAGGTGAAAGTGCAGGTGTATGTTGTTATTACAAGGATGGTAATAGAGGAAAACATTTAAGGGAAGCTATTATTTAGGCTCACAATCTTCATTATTGTTTGTGTTCTTTGGGATTTTAATGAAAATGTATGTGAGGATAACTATTTTAGGATTGCTACCATAATAATGGTGTGATTTATTATATTTGCTATTTGGCACTAAAGTACAGTGTTTGTCTTAATGCATATCTAGAAACTTTTGTCAGATTTAAGCTGGAACAGACCTTTGAGCAGCTCGGTAGCCCTTTCCTTTTGCACATTTGCACTGAATTTGTGAACTCTTTACTGTGACAAATAACGTTCTAAATGAGGTGGCTATTGGGTATTACCACGTTTATTTACGTGAGTGTAGTTGGGTTCTGGCCCCTGTTCACAATTCCCTTGTTTCATAATTACTGCACTAAGCTTTATTATGTGATAATATGTTAGGGTAACTGGAAAAAAAAGAGTAATGTAAGGGCCATACAGTATATAAAGTCACACAAGACCATGTTCAGCCACCGAACAACAATGGAAGAAGAATATAAATGAAAAGAGAAAACCTATCTTATCATTTCTTAATAAAGCTTGGTAATTGTGAAACATGAGAATAGGGAACACCAACTATACTCACATAAAAAACCTGGTACAGGTACTACTGTAATAACAACTTCATTAAACAAACTAGACCCTCACAAGAGCATAAATACTGTATTAATATCATCCCAGTCAGCTTTTTAAGGGATGGTGTCACTAATGAAAACACCAGTTACACATCTATCTAATTAATCTTTCCATTAGTACCAATTCTGTATCAGATGGACATAAGTTTGCTAAAGTAACACCTACTCTACCATACAAGAAAGGGTAAAATTATCGTTTTGGTTATCCACCTATTTAGAAGTTGAAATGTTTTTCTGGTGGTTTTTGATGTGTTTAGAACGATTCTGACCTTCATTTTTACCGCAAATCATTACATTTTGAGCTTCCCCCCTTATCCAATGATAATGGGGGACCCCCAGTGGGAACCAGGGGTTTTGGTTGGGGGAAAATCGCAAAAAAGTAGTAATTTGCAATATAAATGAAGGTCAAAATCATCCAAAACCCAACCCAACTCTAAACATAACCTAACCTAACTCTAAACCTGTCTGCTTGTGTGCTTACCTTAATTAGACTCAGAAGACTCAGAGTTGGGGTCCCAGACCTTATGAAGACAATTATTGACAAATAAGATCAGTTTCCACGGCTCCAGATGTGCACTGTGGAGAAATGTTCCTCTTGCTAGACTTGGGAATAACAGTTCTTCTCCCACAGGAACAAAGGTGTTTCTCAGCTTGGTAATTACAAGGATGGTTACACTTTGTGCAAATAACTTTGTCTTTACTGTAATAATTGATGTGAAATTTGGCGATAATTTGGAAGTAAATGAAATTACAGCCATTGCACAAGGGAGACATCTCGCAAATAAATTCAAATTCAAGTGGGTGGCGGCTGGGGCCTATACCGAACTGTGATTGGTTGATCCAAAATCATATCCACCAATCAACGTCCAAAGAACAACTGGGCATGCGTCAGACTTTAGCACATGCGTAATGCAGCATAATAACCAACAAATGAACTTGCAGGAGCTCTTTGGGACGGTGGCAACATAAACGAGAACTAAGAAAAAATACCTCTACTACAATTTTTCAACAATTTATTAAAATTTTATCGGAAAGTAATCATTTGAGAAAGAAAGGTTACAGAACTAACGAGTCCTAGAATTGTCTAAAGTAGTGATTCCAAAACTTAAATAAAACCTTAAAATTCACTGGATAACGGAAATGATAATACCGTATCAAGAAAGGCTACAGGTTGATATTGATACAGTTTATTTAGCCAGAAAAATATAGATACAGAGTGGACAGAAAGAAAATTATTTACATGGCTGAGCCAAGTGAAAGCCTGAACCCTGTTAGTGGCACCTATTATACACAATAAATTTATCTCAAGGAATTATAATACCCTGTACAGTGTAACATTTATTATCTTCTAGATTACTACATGTAACGTGGTGTCTGTAAATACCATACATATTGGAATATTACCTCATATATTACTGTTTTACATTTATATTATGAATACAGTACAGTATATATATATATATATATATATATATATATATATATATATATATATATATATATATATATATATATATATATATATATATATATATATATATATATATATATATATATATATATATATATATATATATATATATATATATATATATATATATATATATATATATATATATATATATATATATATATATATATATATATATATATATTTTTTTTTTTTTTTTTTTTCCCCATTATAGAAAAGTAATGTATCATTTTAAGCAATGTGCAGTTTTGCTTTTCTTTTTTGTAATAGATTTTTTTTTCAGAATGGAACTACTATTTCTACTCAAAATGGCTATGCTAGTCCAGGATATGAAAACTCAAATGTACCCAATAAGAAAAAGATACACCAGAAGGAGGAAGAATGCTCAATCTTTGTAGCCTTCTTCACCTTCCTGTCTTACGGAGTCCTTCTCTTGGTGGGGCACATAAAGGAGTTCTTCAGCCGTGCAACCACCAAAGAAAAGAATAGAGAGGTAAGGCAAATTTATAATTGTGAATGACCTGATGACATTCAGTGTCATATTGGAATGAGAATGGTGGTGTTCTTCGAGGTAATATGGTTTCTAGGTTTAGTAATTAAAGGCATTTTCGCACTAGCTCATACTCCTATAACCTTTTTGTTGTTGACTTATTTTGACTTCAGTGTTGTTATTGACTTCTGGGTGCTTGGTGCGGGTGGAGGAACTCCTCTTCAATTGACAAGTTATTTTTTACTCCCATGGTCAAGTATAGATCTCCATAATATACCTTACCTCTTTTACCAAAACAGATTATGGGGTCCCTGAATTATGAAAGAGTTACTTTCCTGGCCCTGTTCATGAATTGATTTGTTCGCAATTCTGAACCGTGTTAATTAACAATAGATTACCGGGTATGAGTAAAAGCCATCCCTACTTGTAAAATCTTAAAAATTATAACACAGTATTAGTACAGTACAGGTACTGTATTAAATAATGTACAGGTACAGTTTTTTTTTTTTTTTTTTTTTTTTTACCTTGACCCCTGAAGATGCTTGCTCATAAGAATGGATGGTGCGAGGAGGACTGAACAAAATAGTGCTGAGTTCATAAGTACTCTACCAGTAAACATTGAAAAATTAAGTTTGGTTTTTATTATGTGTCGTATGATATCAAACACCTTCAGTAATCAAGGCTTTACTCAACTCATAAATCCATACACATCTGCAACAGAACAAAACAAAACCCGATTAGAACAAGAGAACATTTAGAGTAAAGGTAAACACAAACATCATTTATTCCATATTACGACATTCATCCCTGCCAACATAATCAATCAAACATCATAGCTGTGTCGCTGGGGTTCTCTTCGCTGCCGAGTAGAACGACGAAGAGGTAACTCCTGCATGATACTAGGATTCAGCAATGTCGTCCCTGTATCTCCCTCTGCAGCAACCCCCTCACCATTATCCAACATTTCTGACTCCACTGGAGGTGAGGTTGATCTGGCAGAGATGTCTGATGATGAGGTTCCACTGGGGCATGGAGCAAGATCACAGAGGGAAACTGAAGATTCACGTCCATCTGGAGACTCGATGTGTGCATACGTTGGGTTAGCCTCGAGGAGCTCCACCTCATCAACGAGAGGGTCACCTTTGCTTGAGCGGACGAATCAACGTAAGAAGACAGGACCTGGAGTCGTTAGCCATGTTGGCAAGGATGTATCCTGACAAGATCGTGTCGGAAAATTGAAAACCTCTCATGTGGAATCACGTTGATGGCTGTTGAGAGCAGTGATCTAATGGAGTGAAGTGCTTCGGGTAGGAGAGCCTCCCATTCAGTGTCCGGAACATCTCGAGATTTGGCAGCTAAACATATGGAATTCTAGATTATGCCATTGCACTGTTCTATTTGACTGTTTCTTGTTGGGTGGTAAGGTGTAGTTTTGCTGGACGCCACTCCACGACTAGCGAGATGAGTTTTCACTTCACGAGACATAAAAGCACTTCCTCGATCAGAGTGGACAAAACTCGCCATACCACAAAGCGACAAGATGGTGTCCAGACATCTGATGACAGTTGAGGAGATCATGTCAGCACATGGAATAGCAAAGGGAAATCTGGAATATTCATCCACAGTAGTGAAGAGATAAGAGTTTCTCATGCGTGATGGAAGAGGACCTTTGAAGTCAATGTTCAGTCTATCCATTGGTTGAGTAGCTTTGATAAGGGTATTTTCAGTAGGCCTGTGAAATGTTGGCTTGATTTCAGCACATACACGACAAGTTGAACAGGCCTTTTTCACATCCTCCGTAGAAAATGGGAGGTTCTTTGTCCGGACAAAATGAAGCATTCTGACAACCCCCGGGTGGCAGAGCCCTTCATGGATGACAGTTAGGTTTGACGATGAGATGGCTCCGCAGAACGCTCGGGTGAAAGTGTCAGGAGCAACGTTGTCTCTACCTGGCCGATACCAAATGGAATAGCTAAAACATGCGAGTTCGAGGCGCCACCCTTGTATCTTGTCATTCTTCACTTTAGTCCTCCTACGACTGTCCAGCATACAGTAAATGCAACTGATCGCTGGTCAGTAACAATGGTAAAGTGCCGTCCCAACAAAAGGTGAGACCACTTTCTTACTGCTTCAATTATTGCAGTCGCCTCCTTCTCAACAGGAGGAGAGTGAATCTTACTGCCAGATAACATCCAAGACATGAAGGCCACTGGCCGACCAGCTTGATTCAAAGTAGCAGACACTGCCACATCCGACTCATCACACTCCACAACAAATGGGATGGCATGGTCAATGCTATTTAGGGCAGCTTCCCCAAGCAGTTTCTTCAAGTATTCAAAAGCTGTGAGTGCTTCACGGTCCAGAGGAAAAGATTTAGCCTTGTAGAGAGGCCGTGCCTTGTCTGAAAACTCCGGGATCCACTTAGCGTAATAAGCAAACATACCAATTACACGTTGAAGAGCCGATCAGTTTGTAGGTGGTGGAAGTTCTTGCAGTGGTTTTAGCCTTTTCGGATCTGGTTTGATTTGACCATTTCCAAGTTGATAACCCAGAAGATTGATCGATGTTGCTGATATTGTAGATTTGGATGTATTGAGGGCCAATTGCAAGAACAGTCGAGGGGTGTACGACGCCATTTACGATGACCTTCTTGCCCTGATCATATTTCATTTATACCACCCTTTTGAAGCTCTGGAGAGATCTCGAAGTTTTGATATTTTGAGTACAGCACTAGCTAATAATTCCCACCAGGAAACTTGTTTCGAGACTCCTCCAAAGCTTCGAAAAGTGCAGAATTCCATGTGTTAAAGGCGATATTGCTGAAAAAAGACCAGGGCAAGAGGGTCATCGTAAATGGCGCCGTACAACCCATAACCGTTCTTGCAATTGGCCTCTGAATGTCAGCTTCCTTTTCTCAGCAGCAGCAAGAAATTTCTCAAGATTTGTGTCGTGTTCTTTCTGATCCTGACCACCTATGGTAATATTGTCAACGTAGGGAAATGTGTCACATAGATTCTCCTCCTCCACAAACTTGTCTATGGCTCTTTGAAAAAACGGCAACAAACATTTAGTGACACCAAATGGTACACGTGTGAATTGATACAGTCTGCCATTTGCTTCAAATGCTGTAAAGGGTTTATCAGACTCGTTTATGCATAGTTGATGGTATGCGCTCTTTAGATCAAATGTTGAGAACACGTGGTACTTAGCAAGAGTGTTGACCATGGTTTCAATGTTTGGATATGCGTCGACATTGGTGTAAATGTTCACCGTAGAAGAGTAGTCGATGCACATTCGTTTTCTGTGACAGCCTGAATCATCTCTTGCAATCACCACCTGTGCACGCCAAGGTGATGTACTTGATTCTATGATGCCTTCGGACAATAAGCGTTGTATTTCTTTGCTAATGAACTTTTGGTCATCAGGGCAAAACTTCCTAGATTTGGAGGCTATCGGCTTTACATCTCCTTGCATGTTTGCAAATAACAGTGGTTCTGACATACCTGCTGATGCCAGGCTACATACAGGCTTGTTACCAATGTTGGAAATCTTTAGCTCAGGTCTGGGTCCTCCATACTCTATGGTAACTGAGGAGTGTTGTTTTTGGAAATCTATGCCGAGAATAACATCACCACATGACGCCCAGACATGTGTTTGGATAATGACTGTGATTCACATAGAGATTCACCTATCACAGAAGCCGTTGAAGAAGACATTGCCAAGGTTACACTTTGGGAAACAGGTTTGATGTGAAGCTTAAGCCGATGGGCCACTCTCTTGTCAATGAAACTCTCAGAACTTGCCGAATCAATAAGGCCGGAGATTCATCTTCCATTTACCTTTTAAGTTTGTAGCAGAGAATTCAGGCAATGAGGAACAGCAGCTGAGATGGCACAAAGAGTAGGAGATGAAATTGATGCCGTGACCTGTTTCTTACCCTTAGTCTGACAGACTTTTGCCCAGTGTCCTCTTTTTCCACATGAAGAGCAATCATTATCTTTAGCTGGACATCTCGCCCGTAAATGAAGACTGCCACCACAAAACCAACATCGTTTCTTAGTGGTCATACTAGCAAGTGTTGAGTCCTAAACTGGATGTATATCTTGTTGATTGTGTGGTGACTTAACAGTTTCCTCCACACATTCTGAAGCTGCTGCAATGACAGGGCCTAGTGGCTGGAAGGCTTCAGAAGTACACTGTGCAAGATCCAAGGCTCTACCTTGATCAGAGGCTTGAGAGAGTGTGAGAGCCTGGTTTTCCAATAGACGTCGACGTATAGTTGCAGAAGACAGTCCATTGATAAAGGCATCCCGTACTAACTATTCACGATATTCTTCGGCCGTGACAGCTTTTAGATTACAATCTTTGCTGAGTCTGTGCAAGTCGCAAAGAAATTCATCCAGTGTTTCGGAAGGACACTGACGTCTTGTGGCGAGCTGGTGTCTGGCGAATATCTCATTTTTCTTTTTCACATACACCTTTTCCAACACTTGTATAGCGGTTTCAAACTTTGTAGCATCAGCAAAGTATTCATACACAGTAGCAGACACATATTTTGTCAAACATCGTAGTTTGTCAGGAGCTCTGTCTCCACACTCATCAATAAAGTTTTCAAAAGTTTTACGCCAATGCTTGTACTGTATTCCTTTTCAGCAGCTGGGGAATTTGGATCAACATCAAGCTTGTCAGGGCAGAGTATGCATTCCATGTTGCTAGTAGAATATGAGTTGAATAAATTGTCGTATGATATCAAACACCTTCAGTAATCAAGGCTTTATTGAACTCATAAATCCATATACATCTGCAACAGAACAAAACAAAACCCAATTAGAACAAGAGAACATTTAGAGTAAAGGTAAACACAAACATAATTTATTCCATAATTGACATTATGCATACAGGATGCTGGGTTATAAGCCAGCTTCAGTGAAAGGGTTAATCCCATTGGTGATACAAAGTGAATGTATATCTACTGACGACCTCAGGTTTACAAAAGGGCTTTGTTACTTGTGTTAGTTCCATAAATGCAAGAATATAGTTCAGTGCAGATTGTCAGCTTCAATATTTTTGTAGAATCGTGTTCTTTACTTTGAATGTTCTAATTGTAAACTTTTGTAAATCAAAACGCCTCTCAATTTATACAGAACCGGTAGAGAATGACAAATTAATTAATGGATATTAGTATTGTATACATGGTACGTAAAACAAAAAATGTTGCATTGGGTCAAATGATATTGTTTTGCAATGTGTTTCAATTGATGGATTATAAGTACCAAACCTAGTACTGTACTGTATTGTATACATAAATTTTTGGGATTGGTGATTTATATTTTTACATGAAAAATGCCACTCTTGCTTCTTTTAGATAGTCTCCTGTCAATTTCCCCACTTGTCCTCTTTACCATTTATATTTGTTAAATTTTACTGGTAAAATCGACGTGCCGTGGGCGAACAATCTCAGATCAACGTAATCTATTGTTTTGACTACAAGCTCTCATTTAGGTCAGGACAAACTGCCAGTTTACATAGTTGAAGTGCTTTAGAGTACAGTACTTGCTCATCCTCATATTATCTTGGCATCAGTATACTGTACTATATACGTCTGTTTTTTCCGTGCAAGGCCAGCCCTAGTTAGCAGGCTGAGGGGAGAGTTATGTTAGTTATTTTTTAACTCAAAATTTCAGGTAGATACTGCATATGCAACCTTTTTATCTCACTCCCTTGCATGCACACACAATTCTACATACATATTGTGCAAAAAAAAAGTAAGAGAAATGAGAAATAATTATCATATGGTCAAACACATAAAGGGAATAAATATTTCTTTGTGCATGAGTTAGCTGGCTGAGTGGGAGGGCAGGGAGTGGGGCTGTTGCTAGGTAGTTGGCTGAGGTAGCGTCCCCGCTGGTCTGCATTTCTATGGCGAAGCAGGGAGTGAGTGCAAATGGCAATTGTGTTTAGCTTTTGCTAGGCTGTTCTTTAATGGTTTTAGCTTCATTTTTTCATCTAGATTGTATACAAATGTTGTTTGAAGTACAGTAGTACAATTGTTAAACAACAAACGAAAGGTAGATACCCCCTGTAGTATGGTTTATGAATCCTGGGTAAAGAGGTGGAGGGGGGTTGTGAGTTTGCTTCAGTCTTGACTTAGTACTTGTTTTTCAGTATTTTATATTAGTTTTGTATTTATAATAGTAACACATCACTGGAGACACTGTAGCCACATCCCCCTAGCTCTCTCCTACCACTCCAGGCCAAGCTGTGAGCTATGTTATGGTTATTTATCAACTTATAATTTGGGGAAGGTACAGTAATTTTTTTTGCATGTATATTCAATCTTACATACAGGATGTCAAAAAAAAAGAAAAGGATAAATAATTTTCATAAGGTCAAAAACAAAAGGGAATAAACTTTCTTCATATGTTAAGAGGGGAGGGGGAGCGAGGGATCTTGGCTGTTCCAAGCTGTCTCCTGTATGTAGTGATGTGATTGACAATTTCATTGTCTAGCAGCCAAATGGGAATAGGGTAATTATTTTTTGTTTTAACCTTTTTATTGGTATTTTTATTTATTCCTAACATTTACTAGTACAGTTTATACAGTATGCTGTATTAAGAAAACTTTGGCTACTTGAGGAAAATGCACACAAAACTTTTTTCCCAAATATTCCCTGCTGAAATGGCGGTGTGTCTTATATTCCGTAAAATTTGATACATCTCATATACATACTGTACATGGTTTACTAGGTAAGGTCAGTTCCCAAAGTCACACTGTTCATAGGATTTCCCATCAGAGGGTACACTGTTATGAGCTCCCACCCACCCCTATCACTGCCTAAGGGAGGGGGGGTAATTGGGTGAACAATAATATGCTGTAAGAAAAAAATACTTGGGTTGGTCATAATTTTTGGTCCTGAAATTGTGTTACATGCCCTCATAGAGTATCTTGCAAGACTAATCCAAGTGAGCTAACATTTGGAAGTGTTGTAAAGTCCATAAATAATAGTAAAGTCGTTTTTACAAGCTCCACACGCCATAGACTGGCTGTACCTGTAAGGCTCCATTATGTGCCCCTTTTATTATACTTCTTCTTGGATAGTGAGCTTTGAAAGTGTTTGAAAAAGTGTTGCAGTAAGGCATACAAACAACATTTAGTCTAAGAATCAACTTCAACTAAAAGCTTAGTGAGGTGTGTTCTAATTTTTGCCTTCCAAGTATTTATTTTTTTTTATTTATTTTTTTTATTTATTATAATTATTTATTTATTTATTTATTTTATTTTTTTGAGAGAGAGAGTTTCCTACTTGACACTTTGGTACACAGTAAGTCTTGGGCGAAAGGCAGATCTTTTCTAAAGCCAAGATATTGTAAGAGGCATAGGGACTTATAGAAGTCATAAATTCTACCAATTTATTTGAATTCCAGCTTATAAGGCCAGGAACAGTACATAGCACAGTATTTTATGATCTTATTGCTTAAAGGTTTAACTAAATAAGATTTTCCTCTTACCTGTTTCGCTCCCTTAAATATATGTTTCTTCATGATAAATTCATGTAGTCCTTCCTTCTACATGCACTTGCACATTTTTTTTGCTATATACTGTGGTTAATTTAAACTGTATATCACTCCCTAAATTAATGTGTTCATATTTGTAAGTAGGGTATGTTTGTGTGTATATATGTGGGTGTGTGTTGTATATATTCCCCATTCTCAAAAAAGATAATTTTGATAGAAGGACTAAGTAGAGGTAATGGTTTTGCTTAACATCTAAATGTATGATGTGTGTCCTGAAAATGGAGAAAGAATATTAATGTGGGTATTTTACATTTAAAAGCTTTTCCAAGACTTGAAGTACCTGTACAGCACTCTGATTTAATGAACTGTGTTTGTCCATTTTTGTCATGCTTTTGTGGAATGTACACATCTTTTCCCAGTTTAAAAAAAAATACTTTTTTTTACTACACTAATAAAAAAGGACATCGAGGAGTGTTCACCGTTCACCAACTTCACCATCTATCTGTCCTATGGCGTCCTCTTCTTCGTGGGCTACGTCAAGGAATTCTTCTACCCACCATCAACGAAAGAAAAAAACAGAGAGGTAGAGTGAACAGTGATGAATTCCAGACTCTTACCATAAGAGCAGCCTTGATCATGATGTATCACATTCACTTGATGATTATTGATATTGCAAAGACGTATGTACGGTATTTCCATTTGTGTATTTTTGGGGCTTAATTTGTTTTCCCCCTGAAAAATGTTACCAGTTAATTGCCGACTGATCTTCTTTGAGGTGTGCTATGGGAAAAGTCTAGGATTAGACCTTAATGTGATTGTTGTGAGTGGGACACCATGGCACAGGGTAACACTCTGACCTCTCACCTTGAGGAAATGGGTTTGAACAGACAGAATTGGCAAAGTGTTACTCTCTATGGTATGCTCAGGGTTGGTCACTCTGACATGTCAAGGACTCAAACTAATGAAGACATTCTCGCCCAGGAAATTGCTACCCCACTCAGTGGGAAATACAGTAGTAACTGCATTTTCATTTGAGATACACAGAAACAGTTGTCATCATATCTTGAATTACATTTAATTACTGTAGTGTGATTTTGTCAGCTTTGCTTATCAGACACTTTCATCCACCGCTTACCGGTATATTGATGTGTTTTGTGCAGTGTCTGAGGGGTGTTCTCAATATGGGTGTGATCTTGTGTACTGTATTTATTTATTTTTCCAATTAGCTTTTTTTATGAGTTATTGTTATTCCTTCTCATAATGATTAGAATAAATAACATTTTCGTCTAATACAGGGCTATGTTCCTCTGTACATTGGATTTGAGAGCTTCTACACCCGCAATGTGTATCGTCGTATTCAAGACTGTTGGAATCGAACGATATGTAGTGTTCCTGGTGCAGAAATTGATCTTATGGAACGATATACTCCTGACTATGGCTGGACTATGAAGTAAGTGCAATACTTTATGATTTTATGATTTCATAGACTGTGTTTCTGTAGGGAAAACTATTTATTGACATTTTTTGCTACTTGGTACACAGAATTGAGGTTGTTTAAGTTAATAACTTCTTGGAATGTTTTTTAGATTGCAGTATGAAAACCAGATAGTAAACTGTACTGGCATACAAGACAACCTTAAATTTTTAATCTGAAATTTAAGTTTTAGGCGATACTGTACTGTACAGTCATATCCCAATAACCGACGCATATGGGGACCAAGAAAAGTCGCTGGTTAGTGATTCAACGGTTATTGAAGCAATTAATCCCATAAGAATATAACATTTAGGGGCTTAGGGACCGGCCACTCCAAAATCTCCCATCTACCCTTGATATATCTTTGTTGTGTACACTGTCAAGCAAGGAAATAAAGCTTACATATAAAGCAAGCATGATAAGGTTTAAATAAGCAATGTAAAGCATAAATTGAGACTATTTTTACCTGTGTTGAGGATGATAGAGATGGTCTTGGGTGGCAAGTTCAAGTCTATCAATCTTTGCTGGTCTATCACCACTCTAATTACGCCTTATCACATCAGATGAAGCTGCCCTTAAGTTGGGCAGCACAAGAGGAACTATCACGGGCATTTAAGCATGATTGCATAACACACAAAGATGGAAATACTCTGTAGTGAAAAAACTTTAAGTCAGAGACACATGGTAAGTGTAAACAAAAACAAAGATGGTGGGAATAAGTCAGGCAGCATGCAGAGCCCTCTTGTGGCAAGAAATTACACCTTATCACTGCCTGCCAAATTCAAAACAGCTCTGCCGCTCTTCTCCCGATCGTCGGATCTCCAGGGTATCACTGAAACTTGCGGGGTATTTCCCTGAGGTTCAAGTTTGTCAGTATTTTAACAAAATAAAGGACTTATTCCTTCCCTGTGGGGTTCATTCTCTTTTTTTAAGAGCATGCCTCCTCTCACAGAGGGATCATCCCTGTTTCCACCGACTGCTCTTAAGTTGGATGCAGGATGGGTTTTGGGGTAGTCTTTCCTGACATTTGTCGGGACCGTAGTCTCCCTATTATGGCATATATTTTTATGGCTGAGCTTTCATGTATTTTACTTGCCCTCAAGATCATTTTTACCCAACCTCATAGTGATTATACAAATATAAATAAATAACTAACTAACCTAACCAATCTGAAATCCGAAAAATTCCGAAATCCAAAACACATCTGGCCCCAAGGATTTCGGAAAAGGAATTGTCAACTTGTAAATGTTTTCTCTTCTCAGATTAAAAAAACACTAAAAAATAAGGAATAATATCATTTACAGTGGATTGACTCATTTTTATTTATATATTAAATGATTTCTCTTTTTCAGACTAACAGGTAAAATAATAAAGTGCATAAATGCTGGATCATATAACTATCTCGGGTTTGCGGAGAACAAAGGTCCTTGCCATGATGCAGCTGAACACACTACAAAGGAAGTTGGAATAACAACTAGCAGTCCTCGCATGGAGCTCGGTAAGTTAAAGATGACTGTTTTGTTCATCTGTTGTCTATATTGATTTACTGTCATTCATTGTGGGATTTTAATATTTGTTATTCAGAATCTGTTCTAACATACAAGTTATTGTAGATGTACACTGTTCCCATGTAGAAGAACAGTACTGTAATAGTCCTTAAGATATTTGCAGAAATTAAATGCTTGTTATTTTATCCACCAGTTAAAAAAAAAAAAATTTTTTCTTCATAGAAACACTGTGTTATAAGCATAAGAATGCCAGTCACCTCTTACTAAGACCTAGGCTTAGCTTTGCCTAGGGATTTGATGTGGCAAGTGGCTAGCTCTGTCCACCCCTGCAAAATATACCCAACTATACATACTTGGCCTAGGATTGATCCTATGAATCTTTGAGCTGGGAGTCCAGAGTACTCCACACTCCTAAGTTATCTAATAAGGGGTAAACAGTTCTGAAGATGAGCTTTGCACTTGGTCATATACTTAGCCAATTTTGTATAAGATAGACTAAAAATATGATCGCTAGAATCATTGAGGATCCATCGTTGAGCTATAAATTTTATTTTTATTTTGATCCAGTGACTTTGAGATTCAGAATTGCCCCATGTAATGCAGGGGTAGTTTATCAGACACCGCCTTACATGATGTGTAAGGTGAAGCATAAAAGAATTCAGCACCCAACAGGGAAACATGTGGAATTAATGCTTGCCTTCTTAGACTAGGAGGTCTCCAAAACTATTTTTATCGACTGGTACCTTGACTTCTTTCACTTTAATCCCCAAAATCTGGAGAGAACTTTCTTGGATCAAGGTACCTATACAATATTGTGTTTGTTGGCACTATCTTAAATTACACTTTCTTGATAACCATATCTCTTTAATTTTAAATTAATTTTGCAATTCTTCTGTTAGTGGATTTCTTCAACATGTATCATATTGCATTTTCTGTTTTCTTCTTTACTGCTTATCTGGTTCCTTCACATCTTTGTCAATACTATTTCTTCAGTCTTGACCATGTAGAAGGTGAAATTCTTGAAAAAATGTAAAGCAAAGTCTTCTGAGCAGTGATGAGGAATCACAAAATCTGTAAACTCGACTCGGAACTTTTCCTTTCTCTTGGAAATTCTTTAGCTACAAATTGCATTGGGATACTAATTATTTTACCCTTTTCATAAATAAATATTGTATCAACATCACAGGTATTCAATAGTTCTTAAAAGAATGTTGGACCCTGCTCTTTTTGAGATATATGTAGCTTGACTTGCCCTTTAACTTTCAGGTACTTTGGAGATCCACCGTGAGCTTGAGCAACTTGTGATAGAGTTCCTTGGGGTGGAAGATGCCATCACCTTTGGCATGGGTTTTGCCACCAATGTGCTCAATCTGCCCTCGCTTCTTGATCCAAGTTGTTTGGTGCTATCAGATGAATTTAACCATGCATCCCTGATTTTAGGCCTGCGCCTCTCTGGGGCCACAGTTAAAGTAAGTCACGATATGTGTCCTAACCATCAGTATCACAGCTTTCACAGTACAGGGGGGCCTCTGTACACAGTTTATGAATTTTCTGTGTCAGTCTGTGGTGTATTTCTTTGCTTAACTCTATACTCTATTTTCCTTTATTTTTGAATTGTCACCAAGACTTTGTCAAACCATAGCCAATGCATTTCTTGAGGTCTATTGATTCAACTAGATATCTTTACATGCATTAAACAGCGATATCCTCCGTAGGCTGGAACAATTGGTGCAGAACTCTTCCGGGGATGAGATATTTGTGTGTAATGAGACAGCTCTCTCAAACTCGAAAAAAAATCCTACATCCCCAGAATTTTTCCAGATAATCGTAAAAATCTCCAAGATTCTAAACTATGCATCTCACACGGACAGACACTATCACACATCCTCGGAATGTTTCTGGGTCTTGGGAAAGTTTTCCGATAGTCTAAACTGCGTATTTCATCTTGACTCTAAACTACTGTACGCATCACATCTCGATTTTAAACTACGTACATATTTTATCATCTCATCTTGCATGGACAAACACGCTCCCAGTACATTTAGACCACGGGCATGAGCGAAAATATTTAATGGCTTGCAAAAAAGTGTATTAACTTTTATTCACAGCATATGTTCTAATTGTGGTAGAGATGAATGTCATACCAAGTGATCATGAATAAATTATCTACAAGACTGTTCCAGTAAAAGATCCTTGAACATAATATTTTGACATCTTGTTATGATTGGGATGCAATTCTTTTGTGAAAAATTTAAGAAATGTTGATACTGGAGTCTATAAAAGCAATTCTAAAATTAAGTTGTAAGCACCATATTTTACCCAAATAATCCTGATTAGTTTACATATATAAAATTTTGGCTATATAAGTACGTATATTAAAAAAAACAAAATCTAAAAGGTAAGAGTAATAATATTCACATGATGTTTATGCAAAATAATGAATAAAAAATTATTTTCAGGTATTTCGACATAACAACAGTGAAGACTTGGAAAAGAAGCTTCGGGAGGCTTTGATTTGTGGTCACCCAAGAACTCATCGCCCCTGGAAAAAGGCCATCATTGTAGTTGAGGGAATCTATTCAATGGAAGGAAGCATATGTGACCTTCCAAATTTTGTCAGAATCAAGAAGAAATACAAGGTGTGATAATTTTTTTGAAATAACACCTTCATTGGGAGGATTTAATTTGGATTCATTTTTTAAGCCCATCCCTGCACACTTCTAAACAAATTTTAATTCAGTTTGTGATAAATTATTCACCTACAGTATTAAAGATTTATTAAACAACATTGGAGATACAACAGTTGCATTTAAAAATAAAGTTTTGTGAGAGACCAGATGGAGAGAAAGAGTTTTGTGTGAATTGTCATACTTTCATGAAACTGCTTCTTTGAATATAATAATCCATGCAATAGGTGTATACTTTATGTATTCATTTTTCTATTCCAGACTTACTTGTATGTAGATGAGGCCCATAGCATAGGTGCTTTGGGCCCAAATGGTGGTGGAGTTGTGGATTATTATGGTGTAGATCCAAAGGAAGTTGACATCCAAATGGGAACTTTTACAAAGAGTTTTGGTGCAGCAGGCGGCTACATTGCTGGATCAAAGGTTTGAATATTTGCATTATTTCACCTTAATTTTATGTACAAGTACAGTTTCTTAGTGTAAATAAATATGTATGTAGTATGTACCGCATAGAATATTTCCTTCAATAGAATTTTGTATCCAAGATGTCAAAACCTATCTGAGGGTATGCACTGTACCCTAGACCTCTGTATCATTGTACTGTTTGGTTGAACCTTTAGTTCACATCAGAAGAGACCCTTTACTAATCTTGGATCAGTAGCTGCTTTACTAATCATCATATGTGGTACATTTTGAGCTAGTGCACCATTATTAGTGTGAATGCTGGTAATTTATATATCATTTGAGTATCCAAGCATATTTATTTAAAAATTGTCAAGTGAATTTGGTAAATGCAATGACTTGTTTTCTGTTATTTTGGCCAAATGAATGCACAGGGTGTGGTATTTGTCATGGACATAATGGGCAGGGGAAGAGTTAATTTTTTTTTATTATATATACTATGTGCCATAAATAATTGACGTAAAACTGATTTAAGCAAATTTCCTTGAAGGACCTGATCAACCACTTACGTGTGACCAGTCATGCCCAGATATATGCATCATCAATGTCTCCTCCAGTAGCCCAACAGATCATCACATCAATGTCTATTATTATGGGCAAGAAAGGATCTGGTGAAGGTTTGTTCATTTTAGCTTTGTTATTTTCAGATCTTGTATTGAAATCTCTGCCATAAGGGCCCTAGATAATTTTATATCAGAAGACTACAGTATTGGTTTGTAATTAGCATCCAAAATCATAAGGACTTTTGCTTTGGTGAACCTTGAAAATTAAATGCTCTAATCTGATAGAAAGGATGGAATTAATATTTTTTTTATTTTTGTTGACTGATATAATGACACAATCCAATTATATGAATGTTCTTACTCTTAACAATTGTCCAGGTTTGTTTAAGAATTCCTTACCATCTCCAGACCATTTTTCATAAATCATATGCATGTACCGCGACCACTCATTTAAGGCTGATATTGTGGATCTTATTTTCACAAGTGTCCCTACAAAATTTAAAGATCTGTTCTGCTTTCTTTATTTCACTTCTGGGTTCTTTGCCGACCGTCAGCATAACCCACACAAGTCATAAAGTTTTCACCATTCCTGCTTCTCCATTGTCATATCAACAACAATTCCTTCCTCAAACTTTACCACCATCTCTATCTATATGTCATCAGTATTCACTGTGACTCCCCATCTCATTACAATCCATGCCATCTTCACATCATCAACAGTTACACTACCATTATATACACCATCATTATTCAATCACCTGTGACATCATCAACATTCATAATTACCATCCACTCCATCATCATTCACACACTAACATCCACACCTTCAACATCCCCACCATCAGCATCCCCTCCACCAGCATCTCACCACTAACATCTACACCATCAACATCCCACCATCAGCATCCCCACCATCAGCAACCACACCACTAACATCTTCACCACCAGCATCCACACCATCAACATTAATGTAAGAAATTGAGGGAGATGGTTTCTTACTGTAAGTATTTTCTTTTGTTGTAAGTGATAATTTTTTTCCATTTCAGGTAAAGGAATGTAAACACTGTATGCAGAATACATTGTTGCATGCAATTTGTTTTTAAGTCTTGCTGAGATGAATATGTGTATAGTACCTTATTCCAGGATTGCAGAATAACATGCTTTTTGCTGAATGTATGGGTAGCTTTCAGATGTTTTTTCTTTATTATTTTACAGAAGTTGTGCACTTCAAAAATAACATGAGCAATGTGTAAGAGATTTATGTCAGCTTTGCAATTGTAATATACAGTACCGATAGGTTGACACAGCATGTGAGCCATCCTCTGTGGAAAGAATTGGTCACAAATTGTAGCACATTAGAAGGTTTATAATGGTTGGGTATAAATGGGACTGCCCAGTATGGGCCACTAGGCCCGCTGCAGTTTCCTCCATTCTTATGTACTATGGTGCTTGTATAGGTCATATTTCTTTACTCGTAGTATTTTCTTTTCTCTTCAGAGCGAAGTTGATACTTATTCAGTAATTATTCTAATTGTTGTGTAATTGATACTCTCCGTTCATTTGCCTAGTCTTAAAAAGTAACTGGATTATTTTTTCTCACAGTAATATTTTTTCCTGATCCCCATTTCAGACATTGTTCTATTTCTGGCTATGGTGCACTCTGACCCCATATGCTTTGAAATGCCGACATTTTTTTCAATAATTAAGCAAAATATTTTAATCCGCATATAAAGTTGCAGAAATTCTGATCATTTTTCACATAATTTCAATCCTGGATGTGGATAACAGTGAAACCTGTATCAGTACATGTCAATTGTCCCTGCACAGGTTCCACTTAATATTGATTGGCAACAAATTGGCTTACATCCAAATAGCAGTGCATTGTTCTTTAATTTTATGTTCAAGTTTGGAATATGATGCTGTATATCAGCAGACTGTTAGCATTGTTACTTTTGTATTATAACTTAATAGTAATTGTCCCTTTCTTAGTACAATACCTCATTCTAAGTAGTATGAACACCATTTTATTGTGGAAAATAGTCAGTTTTTATGGTTTGATACCCATCAATAACCTCCAACACCCTTAGGATGTATATACTGTATACTGCACTAAATATATTTTTTTACTAATGCTGATCTCAACCACACTTTACTTTTGCTCTATAGAGTGAGCCTTTCAAGGTCTGAGCCTGTCACTCATTAATTATATGACCATAAAGGCATTAACAAAAGCTATTGTAACGTTTTTCTGTAATGCAAAGTGGCTTTACTCAAAACCTACCTCTCTGTCTCTCTCTCTCGTCTATACAGAGTACAACATTTAACCCTTCAATATATATGAGCAGTAAATAAGTGTTGCTTTCATATTCTTATGTAGAGTAATGACAATATGTTATCACATGTGTGCACTTACATACGCGCAGTCTCACTTTTTTTTTTTACCATTAATGGTTAGCTACTTATATTGTTCCATTAAATAACATTAAATAACATTACAGGTACTTCAAACAACCATATTAATTTTTTTACATTAATTTTACTACAGCTACAATCAGGGTCTTATTTTCTTCAGTTTTATATGTAGAACCAATCAGTCGCTGGTTTTGTAAGCTTTAACATAAACAATGCCGGCAGCCGTCTCGTCTCATCGTGTGTTTTAATATTCCACGTATTATTAATATATTGTATTGTTAATTTTGCACACACAAACATTAATTGAATAAAAACAAATTCAGAAACATTAATTAGAATATATATGAACAGTAAATAAGTGTTGCTTTCATATTCTTATGTAAAGTAATGACGATATGTTGTCACGTGTGCGCACTTACATACGCGATCTCTCTTTTTTCTTTACCATTATCGTTAGCTACTTCTATTGTTCCATTTATTAACATTAAATAACATTACTTAAAACAACCATATTAATTTTACTACAGCTACAACCATGGTCTTATTTTCTTCAGTTTTATATGTAGAACCAGTCAGTCACTGGTTTTGTAATCAACAAAAACAATGCTGTGTCATTTCCTCGTATGTTTTAATATTCTACATATTATTAATGAATTGTATTGCTCATTTTGCACACAAACATTAATTCAATAAAAAAGACATTCAGTAATTAACAATAATGAATCTTTTGTACATAAGAGAAATGACGCTGTTTACACGATTATGCAAGTCGTCTGCACGTTGGCGGGCCGTTCAAACCCGTTGAAATTCAAGTTTCCGCCGTCAAAATTTTTATTTTTTTATTTTTTTGGTGTGTGTGTTCCAATAAAATACGTTGAATTAAAAATTCGCGAAATTTGAGAAGCTACTATACGATATTTAACCCTTCAATATGTCTTCAAAGAGACCATGATGCAAAGAAAGTGGTGCTAGTGCTTCCAAGCATAAGCACAAGTCACTATCTATCCAGGAAAAGGGTGAATTTCCATGGTCCGGCAATTTCTATGGTCCGGCACCGGTCAGGTCCCGAAGTTGCCGGACTAAAGAGGTACAACCAGTACTGTATCACTATTTATGAGTGAATGAGTATTGGTAGAGTAACGACAGACGTGATTGGTGGATAGATTTGCTATAGGTCATATAGGTTGGCTGTTTGGAGACATGGGTTACCACAGGGGGGTAGGAACATACTAGTATTTCTGCAACTGTACCAGACCATTTATCCAGCTTCCTGGAAACTGGATTTACTTGAAAACTGATTGTTTTTTTATCTGGCTAGTTTTGAAACTGGGAGGTTTGGCTGGCCTCATTTTTGTTGTTATTTATCCAATTTATTATCATTATTATCTATTAACATGACTAAATGGCTAGCAGGAAGTCTACATGCTAATGGAAAGTCCAAAAGAATTTTTTTTTCTTCAATAAAAATTGGGATGCAGAATTTCATATTTCTGATACATAGATATAAGTGAAAATAGTTTAAAGTGCTCCCCTCTTCAGAACCACAACCATTGCGTCCCTTCACTGTACTTCGTAACTATGAATCGTCACTTTCAAGAAATGGGTGAAATAAAATAAAGATCTTATGAAAAGAACACTTCCTTACTGATTACATTAAGTCCTCGCTTAACGCCGTGGTTACGTTCTTGAAAAACACAACGTTAACGGAATCAATTTTCCCCATAAGAAATAGATAAAATATGCTAGTTATGTTCCCCAGCCTCCCTTTGCTACATAAAATACATTACATAAACATAAATTCAATGAAATTTTTTTAGTAAATATATATATATACTGTATTATACATCCAAAATGATAAATAAATTAAATCATTTGTACAGTATTGTATTGGACAGAGGTGGAGCGAGTGTGTGGTGGGTTTAGAACCTCCATTTTCGTAGCAAGGCTAATGGTCTTGCGTTGCTTCTTCACAACACTTAACACTTGATGGGCGCTTGGAAGCCATTTCGAATGGTTACAGTACAGTATTTATAGCAAAAACGCTTAAGCACGCACGTACTCTGTGGAAACCTAACAAAGACTGGAGATGCTTGTGAATGCTGTAACGCTCCGCAAAAGAGCATAGTGCGCCAAGATAACAGAGGGTGATGCGCCATACAAAGTAGTCCGTAACAACGTTATAACGAATCGGTCGGGACGTTGTCAGAATTATGGGTATCTAAAGAGTAGCGATGTTAAAACGAAACAACGTTGTCGGGGTCAACGTTAAACGAGGATTTACTATACTGTACAGTGGTCTAATCAGATTTGCTGTAGGACTAATGAAAGCTAAGGCCAGTGTATGTAAGCAGGCTGGGAGTGGAGGCCTGATTGGGGTTTGCCGCATCCGTCATGTTTATTTATTGATAAGGTATTATATTCTCGTATGATCAGCCTCTTATGGTGTATGGTTCATCATGATTAATATAACATCTTCAATAATAGAGAAAAATACAACGTGTACGTTGTAATTTGATTTGAAAATTAATGGATAAGCTGTATTGGAAGGGAAAGCTTTCAGCAAACTAGCTTACAACAGGGACATTATAACACACTGTATAGTACCGTATTATATGGCATATCAGATGCATCCCCACTAGGTATTAGGCAGCATCACAAAAATTTTGACTTTAGTCCCAGGTTGCTGATCTGACATGTTGCCTCATTTACACACAATTGCAGGGTCTCAATTGTTTTTCTTACTTTGACAAAAACATACATACACTATAACATTTCTCACTACTGATTTTTTTTCATATTTGTCTCCATTTTTGGTTGTTTTTATTTTATTATTACTATTATATTATGTAATTGTTTTTATTATAATTTTGATTTATTTTTATTATTTTTTTATTATTATTATTATTATTATAATTATATTTTTGCTCCCCAGGCCCTGATGTGGGTCAATGACCTGTGCCCAGGTGGGCTAATCCCCATAAAAAAAAACTTGTGCGTAGTTTCCTCCTGTAGCCATAGTTTTCTTATACAGTAATATATACAGTACCAGTAAATGTGAGGAATAAATAAAAATAATACCAATAAATAAGTTACAAAAAATAATACTGCATTGCCTAACCAGTAAGTAAAAGTTTAATGAAAGTTTAACACAATCGCCATTTGCATACACTCCCTGCTTCTCTATAGCAACACAGACTAGCAGGGACGCTGCCTCCTCCGACTACTGGTGTCATGGTAAAGTCTAAAACATAAGGACAGCCAATGAATATTGTGTGAGTTTTTACTCGGATGACAAAGTCACCGGGTTCAACTCTGGCTGAAGCTATAGCATTCCTTAAAGCTGTTGCTGAAACTGTTACTGAACCTGAAGTTGATGTTGAAGCTGCTTATGATGCTGAAGTTGGTGGTTTAGGCCTTCGAATAATAAAGCTGTCGAAAGAACCTTGCACAGCCACTTTTTTTTCTCATTTTACATCCTTATGTAGAGGTCATTTGCATTGATTTAAATTTAATGCTTTGTTCTGTTAATCGATCCACTTCAGAAAATATGTTCATTGCTTGCTCCATATATCCACAGACCTCTCACCTTTTTCATATCGTTTTAACACATCTAGTTTCTCGACTAAGCTTATACACTTTCTATTAGCTTTTGAACCAACACTACCATCACTTGCTCTCTTGCTTATGTTGAATAGGGATGCAAAAATGCTGTAAGAAACTTTAGAAAGTTTTTCTCCCTGTTCCAGTTGCGTGAAAACAAAAGGCCCGCCAAGCTCTGACTGTTGTTTACCACTCATTAGTCAGGCAGCTTCTTTGCGCAAGGTGCTCTTCATTTTTTTTTTACAGTAATTTTTTTTTATAATGCATATCGGGATTTAGTTATTATTTATATGAAAATGTAATTTTATTTTATTTTTATTGTATTTTGGTCGTAAATACGAATGAAATAAGAACATAAATTAAATTGGGTCCTAAATTAACTAGGGTTTTAAATGTGAAAAGTTGTTGGTCGAACCGTTGTTATCAAAGGCTTTTCTGTATAATATAAAATTATAAAATAAGAAAATGTAGAGTTTGGGTGTTTATTCTAAACACCTAGCTTGGCAATTAAATAGTTCAGTACCTGTATTACAAATTCAATACCCACCCTGTATAACATGACACTCAGTTTTGACCAGACAAAAATCAAGTAAACATTAAAATTAATGAGTTGTGAAAAGTTTCTCTGTCAGTGGTGTGGTGTGGCAGCAAACTGTTTCACTGGGGCATATAAGGTTTATCAGTAATGTCCAGTGGTTTTTGCACTGCCATATGTTTCTCGCAAGTTGCTTTTGTTTGTTAATAATATAATGCAGTTTTAGCTTTACTATGGTGCATTTTTTCCCAGTTGAGAAAAGATGCCCCACCCCCTCCTTGGGTCTTGGGGGGCTCATCTGGTTTTCAGTTCAGAAATATGCTCCCTTTACATGTATCATGTGTATGCTGAATCATTCCATCAGAAACAGAAATTTTCGTAATGTGCAGCTCTAGGGATGCCCGTTTGTTTATGCGGTTGTATTCCAATTTTCAATTATTGCCGGAAAAATTTGCGCGGTGCGTTTGAAAATGCTTGTAAAAGTTGTGCTGCAACCAATTCCGCAAGTCTCTGGAAAAAAGTGCGGCGCAACTGCACGCACAACCAAAAAAAGTTGCGGCACAAATTGCTCCGCAGCTTTTTGTGGCGCAACTGCCCACCTTTGAAAATGATCAAGATACTTTGTCTAAAATTCAATAGGAAAATGTTGTCTTTAGTAGTACTAGCTGTTCGTGTCTTTGATGGGAAGACTTCCATTATCATGTGAAGGATTGATATGATTGTATGCCCTGTGGACTATATGTATCCTAATCCAGCTCTTGTTCTACCTTTGCCTGCACCAACTTCAGACCTGCTTACTAAACTCAAACTTTTAGCTCTCACTAACCTCAACCCTTATACCTTCACTTCGTGTAGGTGAACGACGGCTAAATCAGCTTGCTAGGAATACGAAATACTTCCGTCGGAGAGTAAAGTATATGGGGTTCATAGTGTACGGCAATGAGGATTCCCCAGTGGTCCCAGTAATACTATACCTTCCAGCCGTCACAGCGTGAGTACATCCACATTCCTGCTGTGGCTTGGTCCGTACCGTTTACCATGTTTTGTCACCTATTGCGTAGACTAGGGGACGCTGACTTTCTTAGCATTGAAAGCAGGAATTAATAAATATATTTTTGTTGCCTTTTAACTTGCTACTGTTTTAAAACTCGATGCCTCCATTGTTTAAGTCCCTTCCTTTATTTTTTTCTTGATTGTGTTAATCTGATACTATCATTAGAAGGTATCACTGCATAAGCAGTAGTATGACCAGAATGAAGAATTTTCTCCATGTAGCCTCTGTTCTCTCAGTGAGGCTTCACTACTGCAGAAATACCACCACTTTGTCATCATTAAGATATGCCACATTTTCTACAAATCACTATCCCCAGCTCTTAATTCCTCTCGTCCATGCTAATATTGCGAGCCTCCTTTATTGGGGCCCCTTATGGCTGGTCATATATATTTTCACTGCAAAGAAAAAAGCACATAGTCAGATGTTTGTGTGGATAATTTGGTATTTGATTTGATTATTTTGATACAGTACATACTGATTTGAGTTTGGAGAAAATTCTGTCTGATCCATTTTGCTTCATATGTGGGAAAATGCTTGGCTGCTGTTTGTTAATAGTTAAAGACTTTTTTCTTCTAAATGTCCTATATTTCTTTCATCCTTGTATCTTGTTTTTGCGCAAGCTTTTCTGTCTGACTCTTTGTTTGCGATATCCATAAATAGCTGATGTGTAAGGAGCTCCAGCAGCATCAATTACATGGCAGGTAATTGGTAAGTGAATTTGCCAGCTGATCTGATCTACTGTATGGGCTTCATCACCATATTCCCACACCCTCAAGAAACAAGGGATTCACATAGTTTAAGTTTTGATTTATTATTTCCTGCCCGATCCAGGTCGCAGACGTATCCAACAGCTGTCTAGGAATGTGAAGTATTTCCGACAACGCCTCAGACAGATGGGATTCATTGTTTATGGCCATGATGATTCTCCTGTTGTGCCAATGATCTTGTACCTGATTCCTAAAATTTCGTAAGTAAAGGTGTTGATGGTAAGGTAATAATGGAAGGGTCCTTATTCTTTTGAAGGTGGAGTTGTCAGTACAGGACAGTACTGTATGTAGGATTTGAATGTAGAACAGACTGTACAGTACATGTTTTGGTGAATATGAAACTCAAAATGCATGTGTTAAGAAAGCTCCTTGCCGTAGGACCTTTATGTGTGTGTGTGTGTGTGTGTATATATATATATATATATATATTGCAAATTTAGGGGAAAGTGTTTTACACCTTAGACTTGAAGCATTTATCTACGGTTGAGCCTCTAGGTTTCATTACATAATTGTTTAATACAAATATTTAAAAAAGTACAATAAATGTCTTACAAAATCACAACCATTTTCTTACAGTATATTTTACTTCCATTTGTAAAACTTCTTCCACCTTATTTTATAAGAATGTGAGAAATGTATTATAATTTCATATGTTTGATACTACTGTACAGTGTATATATATATGCAAGTAAATCACTGTAGTTGCACGTGATCCAGGTATATGTTGATAACCACAAGGAAAGAAGAAAACACGAAGTTCCCAAGCGCTTTTGTGTAATTCACATCTTCAGGGGTGAGTACAGAAGATGTGAATTACACGAATTACACATACAGTGAACATACAGATTAATGTAGGTGTTGAACAGCAAACTCGTAGTGTAGTAACTCCCTCCCAGATGGTGTTACGAGGAACTCACGTGGTGTAGTAATTCCCTCACAGATGGTGTTATGAGGGACCTCACGTGGTGTAGTAATTACCTCACAGATGGTGTTATGAGGGGCCTCACGTGGTGTAGTAATTCCCTCACAGATGGTGATATGAGGGACTTGACGTGGTGTAGTAATTCCCTCACATATGGTGTTATGAGGGGCCTGACGTGGTGTAGTAATTCCCTCACAGATGGTGTTATATGAGTGAGGTGTGGTCCCAGGCCTTCCTATCGTAGACGGATTAACACATCGCTGGTTGTTGTTGGGTCGGGCCGTTATCACTGGGTACCTGGGACCTCACTGTGTGAAGGTTAACTTGGGTACGACTGCTTCTGTTGAGTTGTTCTCACTGACTTAAGCACTGCTCACCACTGTTCACCTCTGTTTAACACTGGTTCCATTCCTTTCCTAAATGAAATTGTAACTTCTGGCGAGAACTTGTTGATATTCCGGTGGGGAGGAAGGGATCAGGGGAGGGAGTTGGTATGGGCCAACTTAACAGTTGACCTGGCTGCTCCGAGTGGAGTGCCAGGTATGTCTTGACCCTTCGGTGGTCAAGGACTTACATACGCGATCTCTCTTTTTTCTTTACCATTATCGTTAGCTACTTCTATTGTTCCATTTATTAACATTAAATAACATTACTTAAAACAACCATATTAATTTTACTACAGCTACAACCAAGGTCTTATTTTCTTCAGTTTTATATGTAGAACCAGTCAGTCACTGGTTTTGTAATCAACGAAAACAATGCTGTGTCATTTCCTCGTGTGTTTTAATATTCTACGTATTATTAATGAATTGTATTGCTCATTTTGCACACATAAACATTAATTCAATAAAAAAGACATTCAGTAATAAACAATAATGAATCTTTTGTACATAAGAGAAATGACGCTGTTTACACGATTATGCACGTCGTCTGCACGTTGGCGGGCCGTTCAAACCCGTCGAAATTCAAGTTTCCGCCGTCAAATTTTTATTTTTTTGTGTGTGTTCCAATAAAATACATTAAGAATTAAAAACTCGCAAAATTTGAGAAGCTACTATACGACATTTAACCCTTCAATATGTCTTCAAAGAGACCATGATGCAGAGAAAGTGGTGCTAGTGCTTCCAAGCATAAGCACAAGTCACTATCTATCCAGGAAAAGGGTGAATTTCCATGGTCCGGCACCGGTCAGGTCCCGAGGTTGCCAGACTAGAGAGGTACAACCTGTACTGTACTCTGTGTGTGTGTGTGTGTCAAACACATGAAATTATAATACATTTCTACACATTATATGCTGAGGTATCAAGGGCTTACTGAGGTTCATAAGCTGATCAAAATACCCATAATGTTATTCAGGTGGTGTTTACAGATGTTAGTGAGATGGTGAGTTATTTATAAGAAAAATTACAAATGTTTGTGATTAATTTGGAAGTTAGCTGTCAGGATGACAGCCACCACTTGTGGAATTTTCATGTTCCTCGGGTTCCATTTTTGTGCTTATATGGGGGTGTGGGGAATACTTAACTGCTGATTTAGGGTCAGTAGTTAATGTGAACAAGAGTAAAGTGATGGAAAAGAGTAGTGAAGACGGAGAAAACTAGATACAGTACAGTATTATCTAGAATGGACAAAACATTTTTTTTTCTTCATATATCAGAGTGGAATTACCAGTGAATTGTAATATGACAAATTGAATCTTAGTGGTGAAGAAAATATATTAATAGTATAATTAAATAAGTAGATGATGGAGGAAGATAATAAACTTAAAAGGAAGTGGAAGGATGTACTAGAAGTGAGGGGAACAGACATCAAGGAAGAGCAGAGTATGTGAATGATAGCAAAGCCTGTGAGAGATTTATGGGTAAGTCAACACAGTGTGTGTGTGGATGAAGATGAATGAAAGACGATTCTGCTTTTTACATATGGTTCAGACAATCTTGCAGCACATCAGGAAAGGGCTTAGCTTAGCTTTTGTAAGTAGGATTTACTAAATGGTGCTTTTATTTTCTCATACTGTTTATATTTTAGAAATGTATATAATTTTTTTCTACAAATAACTCTCGCATTCGTACCAGTGTGATTTGATAACTGTAGAAATGAAGTCGTATCCTCTTTCCCAGGGACTGAGTTTTACAGTTAGTGATGAGATGTACTTGATGTTTTTTGCATACTCCTTTACCTAGGAAGTAACATACTTGTACCATAAATCATATTTTTGTTTTAGAAGTTGTATGATGTGGTTAGGACATGAGATTAGGCATCCACCAGGGGAGGGCAAGGGGGACTGGCCTACCTTGGAAGTTGTTGTATGCCGATGACTTAGTGCTGATAGCAGATAATATTGAAGAGACTGGAGAAAAAAAAATGGAAGGATAGAATAGAGGTAAAGGGCATGAGAGTGATTGTGGCAAAAAAAATATTGATCAGTGGTGTGTGTGAGGAACTGTGGTGGAAAGTGAAAAATAGCCCTGTGATGTCTGCAAGAAAGGTGTTGGCATCAACTTAATATGCAATGAGTGTGGAAGGTGGGTACACAAGAGGTGTAGTGAAGTAGATGGCAGACTGCTGGATGTTGCTGACTTTAAGTGTTCCATATGTGCAAGTAACCATGTGCCCACAGCAATGCTGAAGATACTTTATATTGGGGATATGTCACTGGACAGTGTCATTGACTTCTGTTTTGTGGGTGACATGATCAGGGCTGGTGGTGGTGCTAAAGCCTGCTCAATTGGAAAATTGAGAAGTGGTTGGAGGAAGTTTAGGAAGCTACTGCCTTTCCTGGTGGCAAAAGGACCTTCCCTTCAAGTAAAAGGAAGAATGTATGCATCTGGTGTGAGAAGTGTGATGTTATATGGCAGTGAAACATGGGCAAGCTGAAATGAGAATGGTGAGGTGGATGTGTAATGTGACACTGAAAGACAAGAGGCCCTGTTCAGAGCTAAGAGTGCAGCTGGGTATTGAGAGTATTGGTGAAGTCCTGCATAGTGGTAGGTTAAGATAGTTTGGGCATTTAGTAAGAATGGATGAAACAAATTTGGTCAAGAGGTGAATGAGCCTAAATGTGGATTGAAAGGAAGGATTGTAAGAAATGTCATTAAAGTTAGGAATCTGACAAGAAAAGCTGCAATAAACATGCAGCATGGAGAGCTGCCATCAGGTAACCGCGGCTGACCCTTGAAAGCATGGAAAATGGCCGTAAACAATGATGATAATGAAATGAATTGATTATTTAAATAAAGCACATTACCTATAGGTGACTAGTATATTGAGATTGGTGAGAGGAGAGGCTGTAGTAGTTGGGGGAGGAGAGGGTAACTTGGAGCAGGCATGGGGATGAACCCAAGCCTCTGGCTTTGGAGCCGAAGCCAAACATTAAAAAAGTTATGAACCTGAAGCCGAAGCCAAGGCTTCATGAAACCTTAACATCATTATTTATATAATATACAACTGGTATATTACCTTATTTTGATGGGAATATGAATGTTATTCAAAGTAGATTGTTCTTGGGGTGAGTTTGGACTCTTCCTATAGACTGGAAAGATTACTTATGGTATAGTAACAATTTATCGTACTAAATATTTTTTTCCATAATACCCAAACTTATTAATTTAGTCACAAATCACAGAGGCGCATTAAAACGAATACTCATAATATTTCCAAAGGTATCTTTGATCTCTTCTGATGTTTGATGACGATGATAGTAATAATAATAATAATTAATGGTTTATTGAAAGAACATGCCAGCTAAAATTCTGAAAATATACAGTTACATAATTGGGGAATGGGTCACTTGATTGACAAATAATATACAAGTAATACGAGTGATACAAATATGATATCAAAACAAGTGGGGGGGAGGGCCATGCAACAGGAAATTTCAACATAGTAACAGTGCAAAAGTAAGAGTGTCTGGGAGTGAACACACTTGTCAACTATGAGTTGTTGATTTTTACAGTGGTTGGGATTGGGCTGTTCATATAATGATCAGTACGTGCTCGTATGGGCTGGGTGGAGTTGTAGTGTCGAACAACAATTCGCGAACGAGGGATCTCAGGTGGAAGCAGGAGCCAGTGTCAAGGATGGTGCAGAAGCTTTTCCCCAAATTTGTAAATGAGGTCGTGGTAATGATCAGAGAGAGCTGAGAGGGTCAGTGTGTTGAGCACTTCTTTATATGTGGAGTAGGAAGGTGAGAAAATAATCTTGCATGCCCTCTTCTGCACTTTTTCTAGGTGTTTCCGATGTGTGACATTTAGGGAGGAAGACCAGGCAGGGGAAGCATGGGTGAGCTTGGGAAGTACAGTATGAATGTTGAGCAAGCACTGAGGAGCTCGGGTGTGGGAACACCGAGGACTTGAGATGGCGGAGGAGGTGGGGACGAAAACTGGAGGATTTGACAATTGCACTGACATGTATTTTCCAATTTAATATATTATCTATAGTCAAGTCCTTGTTAGAATAGACCAGTAAGGATAACTTGTGATATCAGTGTCGATCTCACTTCATATAACATCAGATGAAGGTCACATGGTCAACTTGTATTTGATTTGACTTCCCATAAAGGTTACCCTCCCAGCACTACCTGGGGTGGAGATTCTGACTTGTTTGACCTGTGACAATATGTTATTGTGTCGGTTCTGATCGCTGACATGCTGGTCAGTAATTTTGGCACTGACACGACAACCCATGCCACTTGTCAAATCAGGTCAAAATTATGCCGCCTTGGATCCACCAGCTTAAACCCCATGCCTGACTTAGAGAGACACTTTGAGCAAGATGTGAAAGACACAGCAGCTGATGTGTTTTCCCACATTGAAGTGTCTGAATTCTTGTGTTTAATGATAAGTAGTGGTACAGTACTGTATGTTCAGAAGAGCTGTGTTTGTATGAATGGAACGGACATAATGTTCATGTGAGTGGATGTTTGTATGCCAGGTGTTTGGAAACCGAGGATTACCTGTGCTTGATATTTTTTTCTCAAAGAATGCTTATTTAACACAGCTGTATGAAAATTCATGTTTCAGGACCTTACTCTTGTTGTAGATGTTTCAAACACTTGAATTTCACCAAACATTGGATAATGGTACAATAGTCCATTAGTTATGGCTACGTACCTTTATAATGTACTACATTTGAGTGTGATTGTGTTTGTTGTTGTTGTTGTAGTGTGCAGTTTGAATTAATTTGTAGATATGTAACTTGCATGATTGTTAGAAACACTTAATGTTTGTATGGTAATTGTCAGTACAGTAGTATTTTACACACATACTAATTGTTAGTGACTCTTGTGACAACATGTGATTATTACTTATTACTTTTGTGACAGTTTTCATTTTTGTTATTGACAAATCCCATATTTATCATCAACTTCACTTGTATTACAGATCTTATTATTGTGACACATTGTGCCCTTAAAATGTCATTGACATTAGTTGAGTCATATAAATGTACATATATGGTTCTTGACATGTGTACAATTTTCGGTGAATTATGTGACAGTTTTTCAAGTTATTGATAATGTGTGTGAGAGTTCTTGCAGTTGCCTATGAAGAATGTACCAAGGTAGATTTGGCGCGGGGGGGATTATTCATCAGAGCCCAGAAATTGCAATAATATGTAGGAAGTAAGATTTGGTTATTGTGAAAAAGCCAGATGACAAGTCCTAATGGGAAGTTGTCCGGCAGAAAGTGCTGGACATTGCACAAATTCTGGTGAGCTGTTCACAAGTAAAGGTAGGATGAAGGATATATGTAGCATTGCGCATGTTGTCACCGTCAACAATTATGACATGATTGGTGAGATAAATAGCTACTGTATTTGGACAGTATTGATTACTTCGGCTTAAGTTTGCATCCAGGCTTGATGCAAGTAATTTATAATTTTGTGAATAGTCCTTTGTTGGTGTATATTGTATGTATTATAATTGCGCGCTTATTTTTGCTTGCATAAAAAAAATCTAACAGTTTTTTCTTATGATTATGTTGATTTACTTTTTTTATTATTATAATTTCTTAACGATTTATAGCAAATAGTAATATAAGCTGTTTATGACAAGATGTCATGAAATATGTGGATGTAATTTTAATTACAGATGTAATGCATTTTTGTTTGATTTTACATATATCAGTCGAGTTGTAATAACTTTGGTAATACGTACAGTATAATATGATCAGTGGTGTTTAATTATATGTACTGTATAATTTTTTGCTACAGTGTCTATTTTTATTATGACAGACATTGAATTTGGAAGTACCTGTATGACAAAAATTTTTAAATTATTACACAGTAAAGAGATCACTGGAGCTACATTACCATAATAAAACATTATTTGAACATTTTATATTCCAGTTATTCTGTACGGTATTACTAAGATGATTTATTTCAATAATGACTTTAAAAAATATGTAACAATTAAGTCATGTAACAATTAATTTTATTTAGAACCCTTGTGCAGTAGATGCCATAACCTACCAACAATTAGATGTGTACTGTAGAGGTGAAGTGCAGAAAAGGTGAAGAAAGTCAGTCTGAGAGTTTTCACCAAGACGAATCTTAAACATAAAAAAGAGTAACAGACCACACAAAACATAATTTTTCAGAGAAATTAAACCCAATATTAGGACCATTCTTCTCTTCACTTACTCATTTCATTATCATGAAGAAGATTACCTTTGAAGGCAGTGCTCCCTATCTTCTTTTCATATTTATCTGTACTTTTATGAGAGCTTCTTCACTTTCATATGAAGTTGATATCAGTCTAATGCACTGCAATTTGGTTGATCACTTGTTAATTACTGGGCATTTTTATGAAATACTGTATGTACATATGAATGGAAAGTCCTGCATAGCATGGACCTCTGGTGCCCAAGGGCCATTGACTCCATTTGCATTCCCCCTCAATACTGTATGTATACAGTATTGTATACTGTACCTGTATACATACTGGGATGCCTTGGTTAACAAAAGGGTTAGGGACCAAATTACCCATAGGATCAATGTAAGTATGGGAGTTAGGTTCTGAACTACCTCATAGAACCCTAATTTTTGCTATAATTTCACTTACAGTAAGGATATGTACAGTATACACCTATGGCCATTAAAAAAAAGTATTGTACCAGCACTCTCAATAGTATCCATCAAAAGTGATGTATTTACTGAAAAAAGAACATTGTTTTATCAGCCCATTCCTTACTAAATTTGCATGGTGCCATCACAACTTTGGACAGCTTTTTACAATTTCCTCTACCATCTGTGGTGATTTGAATTTTATATATTGTACCTGTATTATAGTATTCAGTACGTGTTGTACTTCCTTGCATAAAGATGTGTTTGTTGAACATGTTTTACTATTAACTGGAAATAAAGAGGGTTTTTTAAATTTGCTCAAGTTGCATTTGTTGGCCTATCAAATGTTGCTGCTAATCCACCCACTGGGCGGTTAGTGGATTTATATTTTGTTTGACATTGGTAAGTGTGAATATTTCCATGTAAGTACAGTACTGTACTTTACTATAGTAATGGTATTCAGAATTATATTTTCTTTCTGCCTCATTGATCTTTGTTTCCATTTTAATATCGTTAAGTGTTCTGAAATATGAGGGAGTGTTCTGGGAGGATTTTTCTAAACCAGGATGTCCCTCTGTGTGTGTATACACAGTATATATACTGTACTGTATATATGTTGTGTAAATATCCAAATCTCTCGTGAAACTCAGTGTTTGATAACCAATCACATCAGATAACTTGATTCTTGCTGAAGAGAGAAGCTTTCATTTTCTGCCTATTCTTTTAGGCATATTTTTCCTCTTCTTATTTCTCTGTTCTGTGCAGATTTAATTTTCATTGTCTACATATAGACCAGCTGCAGTAGCCTCGTCCACTAATCCATTCCAATTTTCCTATATAAAAAGGCCAAGATTTTCCATGTCAGCAGCAGCTTCTTTAATGTTCAAAATGGATAGGGAGTCTTTTTCTGGGTGATATTCACTCTTCTATCTTATTCCAAAATGGAAGTAAAACTACTACTAAAAGCTCAATAGACTGTTCTGTAAATTGTCATCCTTGCTCCTTGTCTCCATGTTCTCTTGATACCATCATTTATATCTTCAAGTATCTTGACTAGATAGTCAAATACCTGTGCAGTGTCTTCCTTGTACTCCATTGCATCTGTTACTCATGCTTCAGGAAATTTTTTAGATCTTCCTTCATTCTTATCCAACAACCAGTGGAATTAAGAAAGAACATTGATTGAAACTTAGCTGTTTCAAAAAAGGTAACAGCAGTTCGATTGACTGAACTAGCATACACACGAGTCTGATTCAAGGAGTGTTTATTGGAATAAATAAATACAGCTTAATGGTTTCAATTTAACAGCCTAGCCTGAACATTGCTGCTGTGTCCACTTTTTTTTTTGCTGCGTTGTCATACATTCGACCTTAAATATTTTAAAGAGAAAGGTCATATGATTCAAATTGTTCAGCAACCCCTGCCCTGCACCCCACGTCCTTCCCTTCACTATGCCACTGGCTCTGTATATTAATTGTGAGATTGTTACAACAAAAAGAATGAACAGATGGAGGCAAGAAAAAATGCTTTTGCTCTTGGTTTTTGCTACTTTACAATTTAGTGGGAAAAAGTCTGTTATACTGACATAAATACAGTAATAAATTAACAGTAGATCCTCAATATACACAGGAGGTTGCATTTCTTAACATCCCTATGCAGTACAGTATTTAACAAAGTTCATGAAAGTCAGTCTTCACTTGTTATGGAAAAATAGTGGTTCAATGGATCTCAAAAACCTTTTTCACCCCCAAAATCTTACTTCAGGTGTTTAGAAAGAAAAACACATTTAAAGGTCTTTACATAGGCGATCAGTGGAAGAAGGGCAAATTAGCCAGCATGGAGATACTGTACATGCAATCACTTGTTGCCTAGATAATTCTCTGAGGGTTGTAAGCTGGATGAAAGTGTATATGCATGAATACTTGTCCGAGAAAAGTCTAGGCAACAAATGGGTTCATGTACCTCAATACCAGCCATGTTTGTTGATATGCCCTTCTTCCACCAACCACCTATGTGCTTCCTTCATCTCCTTTGCTTTCACCTGACAGACACATAATTTGCTCTCGTAGAATAATTATAATAAGGAAAGCTGTATTTAAGTGTGAGTGAGATGTTCATTGTATAGCATGATGTAATTTTGACTATACAGTAGTGTTGAAATTATGCTCTATTGTTGAGTCCAACCATTTACGGCTCATTCACATGGGTGTTGGAGCATGTTCAGTAATGCATTAGGTCATGCGTGAAGGTGTATAAAATTTGTTTTCTCTTTCCCTGCAGTTTGTCCTTTAAAAAAAAACTCTGGCCTTAGAAATGTGATTTTTTTTTTCTGATTTTTCTTTTTTTTTTCCTTTAAATGGATATTAGTTACAGAAGTTTTATCACAAATCTTTGATGATTTATGTAAAGATATAAAAAGCTGTTATTGATACAGTATTGTATATCCAAAGACAAACAAAATATTCTACTAGGTACTGTGTGCTGAAACATTAAATTTAAAAGAATTGGTTTGTGCACTTTAATTGGTTACATTTTCCAGTATGTTTGTGCGTGAACTAACCAAACGTGGAGTTGCTGGAGTGGGTGTTGGCTTCCCTGCAACCAAGATCACAGGAGGCCGCATGAGATTTTGTCTCTCAGCTGCTCACACCAAGGAAATGTTGGACAAGGTACACCTCTACTCATTATTTATCCCTTAATCTTATACCTTCAATAGGAAATGAATACTACATTGCACTAGAGCTTTGGCCTAACTCCAGGAAAGTTAAATATACTTTAGTTCCCATTCAGGTTCAAACATTTATCTGACTGATAATATACTAGCTATGCTTGTCTATCTATTTCTGAACTCTTTGTTTATATCTAGTAGATACATTTACACTATTTATTTTAAAGTCAAATTTTAAACATGGATCGATCAGTTATCCTTTTCACTTACCATCAAATTAGGGGTATCTTTAATGCTGGATGTAACATTGAAGGTTTTAACCAATTTTGTTACAGATTCTAGAGGAGGTAGATGAAGTGGGATACTTGTGTGGCTGCCACTACTCATCATTCAGGGATTCTGAACCAGTTGAGTGGTAAAATAATGATAGTCCAAATTATTGTGCCATGCCCAAGAGGCAGGAGGAAGTATGTGTAATTAAAATCCTTAAAATGACAACATTGTTAAGCCCTATTGAGCACTTATTGTAGGTACCCTGTAACAACAAGTACTGATTATGAGATACATTGTAGTAGGTGATCGGAATATGCAAAGGATCTGAGGACTTGATGTTTGGGGAATTTATAGTTGTACAGTTATATAAGGAAAATATTTTTCATATACTGTAATACAAAGATAAATTACAAAGTACTGTATTGCTTAAATGAGTCAGTTGTTCATTCTGAGCCAATGTGCTCACAATTTGTGGTAACAAAATACTCTTCACCCAATTGTCTCACCTTATGTCTCAACAATTTAATGTTCAAGATCAAACAGGAACACTTGATCAATATGCTTGGATAAGTTCTATTGTTAAGTATAAAAATCTTTTGACAAAGATTTTTAGTGAAGTGGAATAGTTTAAAATCCATGTATACCAAATATTATGTTTGTATAGTGCAAGATTAATACAGTACAGTACTAAGATTTTATAGTGATTTGATATATGAGAAGGCAAGCAAGTACTGGGTATATATATATTTCTTTACGTTTACAAAAGTCGAATAAGACCAAAGAAAAAACAAATATATATATATATATATATATATATATATATATATATATATATATATATATATATATATATATATATATATATATATATATGATATATACTATTTATTTTATCATTTATCTTATCCACGTTTTCATTGTGGATTTACATGAAATATATATATATATACACCTAGACCCCGACTTACGACGGGGTTAGGGACCCAAATCCAGGTCGTAAGTCCGATATGGTCGTAAGTCCGATATAGATAAAAAATAAATAAAAAAAATAAAAAATTCAAAAAATTTTTTTTTTCAATTTTTTTTTAAAAATCTACAATGAAATACAGTACACTGAACGTAAAAAATAATGAGGAATGGATACAGTACAGTAAAAGTAATAAATAATGAGGAATGGATACAGTGTGACTGAGCATTTACCTTAAATGTAGTCAGCTGAATGCACACAGGGCCCCCATAATTTTCTATTTACAGGATACATGGAGACTATATTAATTGGAAGAAGCAGAAGAGGAGACAGGGCTGGGTGGGTCATCAATGTCGCTTCCTTCAGACAGGTTTATGTACTGTGGTAACTTGCTGGTTGAAGGTATTGGATCATCTTGAGGGAGTGAAGAGGCAGCACTGGTGGGGCGTGAGGAGCCAGTACTGGGGGACTTCTTGAAATAGGTGTCCAATTTAGACTGCACAGTTTTCTTTTTCTTTTCATTATAAATTTCTCTGTAGCAAGCAAGTGAATCTTGGATCATTCTGTCAACTTTGGCATAACGCTCATAATTTTGATCCATGTCATCAAACATTTGCATTGCTTTATTAATTGTAGCAAATGCCTCTGCCATATGTTTCACTGAAAACTTTTTGGGGGGTGCAGGCTCTTCTTCTACATTTTGTCTCTCTTCTTCCTCTGCAACTTTCTGTGCATCTAGTTCAATAAGATCCTCGTTACTGAGCTCTTCTGCTACACTTTCAACCAACTGTCCAACATCTTCAGTATCAATTTCTAACTCCAGCTGTTTACCTAACTCCACTATCTTGTTACTAATATCCAAAATAACTTCACTTTCATTAAATCCTTTGAAACTGTTCACATATCTTTTCAGGATTTTCTTCCATATTCCATTCATGCAATGTTTTGTAACCTGATCCCATGCTGCACTAATGTTCTTTATACATGACAAAATGTTGTACTCCTTCCAAAACTGTCTGAGCGTTTTCTCACCTTCAGTAGCAGCAACAGCCTGAGCGAAGGTCGTGCGTAAATAATACGCTTTAAAGGCAGAAATAGCACCTTGATCCATGGGTTGGATGATAGAGGTAGTGTTAGGTGGCATGTACACTACCTTAACATCAGGGTGCATGTCGTCCAGGTGTGGTGGGTGTCCCGGAGCATTATCCAAAATCAGTAAAATCTTGAATGGAATCCTTTGTTGCAGACAATACTCCTTGGCTCGTGGAATGAAACAAGTCATGAACCAATCCTCAAATAGTACTAGGGTCATCCAGGCTTTCTTGTTACTGCGATAAAACACTGGCAGTGTGTGCTTGCTGACATGTTTAAAAGCCCTGGGGTTCTCTGAATGATAGATCATGAAGGGCTTTAGCTTGAAACCAGCAACATTCCCCCCCAACAGAAGTGTAATTCTGTCCTTGAATGCCTTGAATCCGGGCATTTTTTTTGCCTCTTTGTGGATGTATGTCCGGTCAGGCATGCGTTTCCACAATAATCCAGTCTCATCCACATTGAATATTTGCTCTGGCAAATAATTCCCTTCCACAATCACATCATCTAACTCCTCCTTAAAAGCTTCGGCAGCACCAACATCGGCACTAGCTGCCTCTCCACTCACCTTAACACTGTGTAGACTGTAGCGTTTTTTAAATCTATCAAACCACCCTTGACTTCCTGTAAAGGTTTGATCACATTCATCTCCTGCCTGCTCCTTCAGGCTTTGGAACAGGCTTCTTGCTTTAGCCTGTATGGTTAGAACACTTAAGGGTACACGCTTCTGCATCTGGTCTTCTATCCATATCACCAATAATTTTTCCATATCGTGGATAGGACCTTGTCTTTTCTTTGTTATTATAGTTCCCTTTATAGGTGTTGTTCCTTTCACTACTTCACGAATACGTTCCTTGTCCTTCAGAATAGTGGATATAGTCGAGTGTGAGAAACCTAGGTCGCGTGAGATCGTTGCTACTGTTTTTCCATTCTCATACTGTGTTATTATCTTCAGTTTCATCTCAAAAGTAATTGCCTGTCTCCTTTTCCTTGGAGTACCACCAGCACTCTCACTTTTACGCTTTCCAGTCATTATAAAGTCAATTAAATACAATAATAACGAAAGTTCACAGCGCGATCAGTATAGGATACGATTGCCAAACACAAACAAAGCGCTCCACTGAGTGAGTGCAGCCACGAGGCGACCCAAGCCACCCCTCCCTCTCGCCCGGGACGGAAACGTTTCGGTATAGAAAATGCGCGCGTCATTTGAAAAAAATTTTGGTCACGGCGGTCGCAGTCGTATGTCCCGTATGGACGTACGGTCAAAGCAGGTCGTAAGTACCAATGGACGTAAGTCCATATAGTCGTAAGTCGGGGTCTAGGTGTATATATATATATACAGTACAGTATATATAAAGTTTTTAGAAAGAAAAATTTTGTGTAACCCTACTGGAAGGAGTCCGGTGTTTTAAATACCTGGAAATCATTGTTGGTATGGAGGGAAGAATGGACACAACTACAGTATTGTAAGAGTTCTCAAAAGGCAGACAGGTGGGAGGTACAGTATTCTAAAAGAGAATTTGAATCAAAGTGTAGTAGATGATGTGATAAATTTATTTTAATTCATGGAAGTGAAACATGGGAGTGCAGTTCTAGACTGATGCAGAAAAGTTTATCTCTGTCTTCTTCAATAGGGAAAACTACTTTCAACAAATTGTATCAGTATGGAGCAGTGTATAAAGTTTTGTTGGTAAAACAGTGCCTCAATTTGTTTTAGGGGAGGAAGTACAAGTACTAGTGTTTTATGTGGAATGATAATTAAATGTAAATTGTTGCTACAAAAGGGCTGCCTTGTAAATATAGTTAAGATATGGAAAGCTATTGTCCTTTCATTAATTAAAAAAGTTGTCAAATAAGATTTAAGACATGATATGTGAGGGCGTATGTGTTGCTTTTCAGGGATGTTATAGATATTTAATAATTAGCTTAATACATTCTCACATAACTCGTACTGTTGTTCATCAGAATGGTAGGACTATTTGTAATATGATAATCCTTGGAATCTCTTGATAACAATACGTAATATAAATACAGTAAAGCAAAATTAATTATCATTTGTGACATACTGTATTTTGTACATGCCCATTAACCAACATATTACATTATCATGTTTTGAATTATAACACATTGGGTACTAAATGAAAATTTATAATTTACGTGTTTGAATTTTCTTTGAGACTGTAAGAGAGAATCTATTATGTTAAGTATAGATCACCTATGGTGTCATCTACTTTATTTAACAGTTGAGTTATGTCTTTACTAAAACTTGATTTGATGGAAATTAGTCTTGTGTATTTCCCAAACATTCTTAAAACTGAAATGCATTCCAGTTCTAATTTGTGCATATTGACGAAAGGTAGTCTTTTCATTAAATTCAATCATGTTTAATTTATATTGACAGTACAGTAGAAGCCTTCAGCATGAGGTGTAATTGGATATTACTTCTCGTTTATTTTTAAGCTCATAACACAGATGCTGAAAGTGTGTGTCACTGAATTAGTGATCATAACTCAACCATGATGATTTGTT